AGCCTCCACCCCCTAAAGCTTCCTCATGCTGAGAAATTTCTCATTCTTGTCATCTTTGCCCATCACCTCGCTGGATCAAGGGCAACCAAGCTTTGCAGCAGCTCTGATGAAGAATGGAGCTGCTCTGGCCATCAGGCCCTCTGTGCTGACAAGCCTGAGATAAGGTGGCTTACATTGTGATGGTGTCAAAACAACTGTTCCTTGGCTCCTGCTCTGCTCTGTGCATCAGCCAGAGCTCTTGAGCATCCGTGGGCTGGCAACATCACCCCATTAGTCACACAGGTCAGTGGTTCTCAATCTGTGGATCATGACCCGCTTTGCAGGGTGATTGACCCTTTCCCAGAAGTTGCCCAAGACCATTGGAAAACATAAATATTTACATTATGATTCATAATAGTAACAAAATTACAACTATGAAATAACAGTGAAAATAATTTTATGGTTGGAGTCACCACAACATGAGGAACTGTTTTAAAGGGTCGCAGCATTGGCATAGGCAAACTACCTGGGGTCTGGAAGTGAGGGCCCTCAACTACATGTACTGGTTGACAACCCATGATGAAAACCTGAACAACCTGTCCTTTTTCTACCACCCCACTCCACCTTCTCAATCGGATGACAAGAGATGCTGTACCAAATGCTGTTAGTAGGGCCCTGGAAGCTCTGGTATGCCAAGCTTAGCCACCCATCCTCAGTAGGCCAGTTAAAGACAAGTATAGTGGACAACAGAGGAAGAAGATTTACCCAAGGAGGCCACATTGGGAAGAGGAGTAAAAAATCTAGTGACTGCCCCCAGTCCACTTTTGGGATGCTGGCATGAGGTTTAAGTTTAAACTGACTGCAAGAAGCATGCATAACTAGGCAGTTCTAATCAAGGTGCCATCCCATTTAACCATCTGTCTCTGCTGCAGTCTCCCAGCCAGGTGATCTGACCAGTTGTCAGAATTCCTCAGGTTTGGCGCCAAGCTTTAGTCTTTTAATTCTCCACATATGATATTCCTGGGGCATTCCTATTCCCACGGAAACATTGTTTCGATAGCCTGACAATGAAAGGAGGGCCACAAGTCTCTGTAGAACATCCTCATGACAGCTGGGATGCTTCCAGTGCCACTTAGAGCAACAGTAACAAAAGGGATGAAGACCTCATCCCCAGTATCATTTAATGCTACACAGTGTCCAACAATTTATGTCTTTTCCAAGTTCATCCTCCTGAGGAAACTGTCTTCAAATATGGTCCCCAACAATTCTGCCCTTCTCTGAGCACAAAAAGGGTTTAAGACTCAATCTTGACTTGGGATTGGTCCCTACACTCTCTTTGCCTGTGAGGGCCCCTCCAGGCTTCTGCGCTCTGGCATTGTGAGAACTTGAAGCCATGAAGGAGAAGAAAGGCCCCTGATCATCACCCCAGCTGAGCTTTCCAAAATCCCAACCATTTTAGTGAAGGCATTTAGGACTGTCCAGTCACTTGAAGCCCATGCCCGTGTCATAAAGAAAAACAGTTACCTGCTACCCCATGAAAAATAGTATTTTAAGCAACTGCCTTTGGGAAGTTTGGTTATGCTATAAGAGCTAAGCACAGAGAAGTTGGTGGTTATAGGAATCCATTCTGCCACTAGCTTTGGGGTACTGGCCTTAAGTCATGTCTTCTATCCCTTCTTTTAAGAGATCACATCTGCAGACAAGGAGCCACACCTTAAGACCAGTGCCCCAAAGCTATTACAAAATGCTCCATATGGAACTTGCTTTTTGTTTTTTTGGCAAAACTGGCCTATTGGGCAAAGAAGTGCCCTTACTTGACTTCTGACAGTAAGTATGTTGTCCAACCCAGACAGGATACAAGGAAATGTGACTACTGAACCTTGCCAAGACAGGGTAGAACAGTCTTTCAAATTTTTCTGCTTCTAAAAATGGTCTGTCAGATATTCTAGGCCTATATCCAAATTGGTTGCCTAATGTTGCAGAGAGACTTTGGGTGACTATCTTGGTAGCCAGTTATTCCTGTTGTTTCTCTTGGAAGTTACTTGCTTGCACTTCAAGATTACTCAGGAAATATTATTTTCCATCTCAGGTCTTTGATGGGATTGAAGACTAGATGGTCACTATTACTATATTCTCTTAGCTAAGGCGTATTAAGTACAAGACTTAGACTCTTCAGGATAGGACAGATATCAGAATAATCTCTGTTATTTGCCAATTACCTACAGTCTGGACAACTAGAATGTGTTTCTTGCTTGATGTTGTTCCTGTCAGTTGTACTTTCATTTTGTTTATGTGGTTAAGATAATTATTGTAAATAGTTTTATGTTAAGATTAGATCCTTCTTATTTAGACAAAAATGAGAAGTGTTGTGGGAATTCATTCTGCCAATAGCTTTGGAGGCACTGGCCCTAAGGCATGGCAGGCATGATCTTTTAAAAGGAGAAAGAGAAGTCACGCACATTCTCTTGGGTTGTGAAGACCCAATCAGGCAGTGTGAAGTGGTGTGGTCGGTTCTCAGCTCCCTCGATTCCCAGCTCTGTGAATCTTGTCTTTCCCAAACCCCTTAATAAATTGATATGTATAATTATACATACCTTTGTGGATCATGTTACAGTTAGTACTTGGTATTGAGGTGCTGTTGTAACAAAATCTAGAAGCTGTGGTATTGACTTTGGGACTCAGGCTGTGCTTAAATGTCCTCAAGAAGATATCTGGGGAAGAACTGATTAGAGTCAGGGGGTGAACATGAATACTGGGGAGCAGAGGGGATGCTCCTCATGTCTCTGTGTGTGTACGTTTGTGTTCTCTCTCTCTTCTTCCTTTCTCTCTCTCTCTCTCTCTCTCTCTCTCTCTCTCTCTCTCTGAAAACAGGGGCCTCACACATGCAAAGTGTATTGGATTTTTGACACCATGGTGAAGCACAATTAATAAAAACTCAGAGAGAGAAATTGGGGTTCAACGTGAAGATCCAAAAAGTAAAACAGCCAGCCGCTGGCTCTTTACTTGACCTCAGTCTGAAATGGCAATTCTGCCTCCAGGAATCTCAGAATGAGACTGTATTTGAGAGCTGTTTCCTCCCATTTTATAATCCTCTCTAGTGCTGGGATTAAAGGGATGCACCACCCAGTTTCTATGGCAACTAGTGTAGCTACTGGGATTAAAGGTATGTGTCACCACTGCCTGGACTTAAGACTGATCAGTGGGGCTGTTTTACTCTCTGGTCTTCAGGCAGTCGTCATTTATTAAAATACAAATGAAATACCCCTACCCCATGGCATCAACGTCTCTGAGAAACTATGTGAGACAGGAAAGAGTTACTTTGGCTGGATGTTGTGGACATCTCCATGGAGAGCATGTTGGGGGAGCAGAGTCACGCCCTTACTGCAGCCAGCAAACAGGAGAGAGCTCTTTAACTGACTTCCTCCTTTTCTCCTCTGTCATATCCAATCCTCTAGATTGCGGGGCAGTGCCCTCATGTTCAGAGTGGATCTGCTCCCCTTCGATCAGTTTCCTTTGGAAACCCCTTCACAGACACAACCAGAGGTGCGCTTTGCATTGGATGGTCATTCTCCAACCAATGAACTAAGAATCAAGGTTAATACAGCACCAGGCAGGCCCCAGCCATGTCTATCCCCACAGTCCTGCGGTTTGCTGTTTTCCTGTTTGCTAGCCCACCCCTCGTTCCCCTAGTCCTCCACTGTAGTTAACAATTATTTGTGATCATTTCCTCTGCTCAATTATTCCCCTCCCATCCAAACCTAGATGATATAGTCTGGCTGACAACCCTTGCCCAAGCTCCCAACTGGCAGCCAGCACCAGGACCAGCCTTGCCAGAGAGGCCCTGAGAATCTCTCAGTCATCACAGTACCCAGAAAGATGCCAGGTAAAGAGGAAGAGCTTCCCTGCAAGCCACAGTCAAGAGAAAGCAGGTGGAGGGAGGAAGTTGTGTTTGAAGCCTCTCTGGCTGGAATTAGAACTCAGTGGGAGCGGGGAGGGGGACACTTGTCTAGGATGTGCAAAGTCATGGATTTGGTTCTCAGCACTGGTCAAAAAAAAATATTTATTTTAAATTTTAGAAAGGACACTGCTCTGGAGAGATTTGCTGTGTACCATCCTTGCCCAGCATTCTCACCCACACAACGAAGGCAGCATTGCCCCATTTTGCAGATGAAAAGCTGAAGTCTGGTGAGAGTGAGACCCTGCCTGCTGTGCGGGGAGCTGGAAATGGCCCAACCAGAGCTGACCCCAAGAGCAAGGCCCTTCCCTCACCTCAGAGAGCTGGGAGCTTCCTCACTCCCCAGCGGGGAAACTGAACACTCAGGGTGTCAACAACTCGCTCATTCACCCACAGCAGGTGACAGCGCTCTGAATACCAGCTTTTCAGACTCTGGCCTGCCAGGGGCTCCTCTCCTCCTCCCCTCCTCCCCTCCTCCCCTCCTCCCCTCCCCTCTTCCTCTCCTCCCCTCCTCCCCTCCTCCCCTCTGCTGCTCACTACGTTCCTTCCATTCTCCCAGTCCCTTCCTCTAGCACTGCACCCCAGAATTGCCTTTCAAGAAAGGGCAGCAAAATGACTATGGCTGAGAAGTCCTAAGTGACATTTCACCTTGTCTAGAAATAGCTTTGTTTATCACAATAAGGGGAAGAGAAATACTGCCTGCATCTAGTGATGGGGCCAAGGATGCTAAAAAATAAAAAGTCCCAGGGGAGCGCAGGGACAGTCGCTCAGCCACTAACACACAGTTCTGAGGCCTCAGTTAGAATCCTGACTACCCCACAAGACTCTCTGGAATCTACCATTGTTGTCCTCAAGGCCTGTTGTCTCCAGGCCAGAGAAAAGGTGCCTACTGCGGCCTTGGCCTACTGAAAACACCCAGGTAGCTGGTGGGGTCCTGAGATCTTTGGCCGAGGCACCATTTTGGAGAGTCTGAGGCTCAGGTTTGATTAGCTGCAATTAGTTTATTGGGAACGCAGAGGGAGACAAAGGCAAAAGTGCAGGCAGCTGGGTCCCTGGTTTGGGGGGAGCTGCTGCAGGCAGACCCTGAAAGAGATACTCTGGGTCACTTGGTCTCTCGCTGAGCGGCAGGAAAACCAGCAACCATGTTGATCTACATGTCCAGGCAAAAGCATGCTAAGGACCTGGCGGTCAAAGAGGATTTCAGGGCAGTTGATCCTCCAAGACCTTAAGACCAATGAATCCAGTAAAAACAACAGAAGGGGAAATGAAAGCAAGAATCGTCGGTATAAGTAGCTCGGGAAGGCTAGAGAATGAGATGGTGGCGTCGAGGCCACTGTCCTGCGGTGCAGTCACTTTGGGAAGGGGGAGGGTGGTGGCAGGATTGCGGCTTCCTAGCACTTCTTACAGCCTCCGCTGCAGGAGCCCACCCCGGCACAGGGGGCGCAGGCATTAGGGGTGCCCACCACCACGTTGCCGCTGCAGGGGGCGCTGCACACTCTTGTGTTGACAGCAGGGGCAGTACCAGAGACGCAGAGATCGCCAGAGACGACGCCACCGCGGGAGCTGCTCACGCCTGAAAGCGGGGAGAACAGAAGAGGCATCAGGCACTGCCACAGCCCGCTCTGCAGCAAGCGCAGGTGTCCCCGCCCCCAAAGGCTCGCTTCACCCGGCAGGAAAGGGGAAGGCTGGAATTACTTACACACATTCACGGAGCCAACGCCCTCACACAACCTGTGAAAGCGGAAAGGGAGACGTTAGTACACCGGAAGCATGGAGCAAGTGCCATCGTGGGCCCTCCTAGGGAGAGACTGGGAAACCAGGAGCTGGGGATAGACCTGGGGGCGCTATGTGAGGTCAGAAGTCAAGGTATATCATCCTCCATCTCACCATGTTTATTCTCTGTGCAGCCTGAATTTTAGCCTCCCCAGTGGGGTCTAGGTAACCTGCCAGAATAATCCAATTGTCCTTGTGGCAACAGAGAGACCTAGGCACACATGCCAAGACACTGCCTGTGTTGCCCTGTTGATTCTGAGTTGTGAGTGCAGTCCAGAGGACCAGATGTGACCTTCTAAAAATCTTATCTGATTGTCATCATGAAAATATGAGCCTAAAGGAAACCAGAACATTTTGCCCCAGTGTCTGAAGACAATGCCGGTCATCACAAATGACTCCCTGGGGAGGAGACGAGACATTAGAAACCTAGAACCAGATTAGAACCACCTACAGCAGTAATCTCACTGGGCACCCACAGAGGAAACGGCCAACGACAGAGAAGGGCTAAAACTCAGCTGCAGCCAGCCTGTGTCTCTTCCACTTGACATCATCTCCCAGAAGGGAGCTAATCAGAGTTGGAGTTGTCCAGAACACACAATGGCCAAGGGCTGGTAAACTCAACCTCAGATCCCAGCGACCATTCCTCTCTGCTCTCTTACGTAACCACTTTCCCCGCCACCCACTCAGTGGAAAAGCTGTGGTTCCGTTCCTAATGCTATGTCCATCTCTCTCTCCAACTTCCAGACCCGTGAGTACCATCACCCTGTGCTTCTGGGTTTCCCAAGCTACTTCACTGTGTTGGGGGGGGGGTCTCTCTATGTGATCACACAGAGTTCCAGGTATCAAGTCTGTGTCTCCCATGTCCCCAGTACACATGAGTTTCAATCTACGTGCCATCCTGGAGGCTGGCTATAACACAAAAAGCAGCTCCAGGCACAACAAAATGGCTGACTGGAAAAAAGAAAGCAAAGGTACAAAATGAGATCTTGGTTTAGATTGGGGTCCTTAAGGGGTTGGGTTGTAAGAACCCCTCCACATCACTGAGGCAGAATGGCCAGGGGTTCCTCCACCAGTAGCCGACTCCAAAGCACAAAAATTAACTAAATTCTTCTGCCGTCCTCTACTGCTATCTGAACTGCATTGAGAGGGCACTTTAGGGCACTTTTTATCAGTTAACTAAGCAGGAGTAGGTGGAATCTGCTACCACAAGCTGCTATAATGAGATAAGTCTGAAATCCAAGGTCAGAGTGGAGCTAGCCAGTGCCAGGTTAGGAAAGAAGATGAATTCCTGAGGATACATGCAGGCCATAATAGGGAAAGGGGAAACAACCCTAGGATTGGACTCAAGCTAGGCCTCAAGGGAGCAAAGCCAGTGCTTCCCTGTAGGGAGCCTCAGAAACAGTCAGCCTGAAGAAGTGTGGTGGAGTGAGACCAAGGTTAAATGACTTACACGGATCTCCTATGCACGTGCAGGATGGTGACTGAGGAAGCGAAGATTGACAGGTACCCAAGCTGTAGGGCTTTAAGCTGAGGACCCAAGAGGGGTTGAAAGAATGTAAAGCTACAGGACCCACCTCTGCTCCTCGCCCTCCAGCAGGCGCCTGTAGGTGGCGATCTCGATGTCCAGGCCCAGCTTGGAGTTCATCACCTCCTGGTACTCCTTGAGCAGGCAGGCCATGTCCTGCTTGGCCTTCTGTAGGGCAGCCTCCAGCTCAGCCAGCTTGCAGCGGGCATCAGTGAGGGCGGCCTCTCCCTGCTGCTCAGACTGGGTCACTGCAGCCTCCAGCTTGGTGTTCTGGGGACACAGAAGAGAATGGGATGGACTATGGTCCCTGGGTCTCTTTCAGTTATCAACATGTTATCCAGTATTTCCCACCAATTGGGGACATTCTAGAAGCAGCCTTGTGCCTTGTTCACATGGGTCAAACTGAGTGACCGTGGGCATACATAAATAGGAGGTATACTAAATGGTAAGATCTAGGCCGCGCACATGCTGGGACTAGGTCACTGAGTAGGCGCCCAGCCTCCCTGGTCTCAGCACAGCTGACCCCCACATACCTGGCACTTGGCGTTCTCAATCTCGGCCGTCAGCCTCTGGATGATGCGGTTCAGCTCGTTGATCTCCTCTCTGGTGCGGCGCAGGGTCTCCCCATGCCGGATCACTGTGGCCTTCATCTCCTCACACTGGGGATGGGGGAAGCAGAGATAGATGCCATGGGACACAGGACCCAGTGAGCACAGCCACTGAGTGCACAAGACACACAGCAGCACGGTGCTCAGCCAGGGCTGCCCCCCACCCACCTGAGCGCTGTCTGCAATCTTCTTGTGATTCTTGGGGTACAAGAAGTCATTTCTGATAGAGCCCGGAGTCCTTCCCACTGTCGCATCTCAGGACAGGTGTTGTGACCACTCACCTTGGTGCGGTACCAGGACTCGGCCTCTGCCCGGCTGCGGGTGGCAATGTCATCATACTGAGCCTTGATCTCAGCCACGATGCAGTCCATGTTCAGGTCCCGGCTGTTGTCCATCTTGACGATGACAGAGGTGTCTGAGATGTGGGCGTGGAGGATTCTGATCTCCTGCAGGAGGAGGGAGCAGCAGTCAAAATCTTGTTGAAAATTCAGTCCAGCCCCACATTCCTGTGCCAGTCTCTCAGCCTCCCCTGGTTCACACAGGGCTTCGCAGCCATGGAATGACTCTCTTCAGCCTACTTGCTGGGTTTCCACCTGGCTGATGCCCTCACCTCCTCGTACAGCCTCCTCAGGAAGTCGATCTCCTGGGTCAGTGCCTCCGCGTTGGCCTCCAGGTCTGATTTGCGCAGGTAGGCACAGTCCACGTCCTGGAAAGCAGGGATGTGTGAGCCTGAATCACGAGGCTGATCGTGCCCCACCTCCTTTCTTTCCTCATCCATCCCATGCAGCACAGGAAGAAGATCCCTGTATGCAAGCTATCCCTGCCGCTCTTCCCAGCATGCACCTGGCAGCTCCTCAGGACTGGAGACTCTTGCCTCTCAGCCCACGAGACAGCTTCCCTCATTTGCTCTTTGATCCCATTCTACTCTCCAAAGCTTCCCAGTGATGCCCAGATCAGCCAATTGGCCTTGACCTGAACCAGCAAGGGGTCAAGGGGTCACCTAACTGCTCCTAGTAATGCTATCATCCTGTATGCACTGGCTTTGGTCCTAATGTTCTGATCAGACTGTTGAATGAGATGTAGACCACACCGTTATTCCTTTGACCGAATAAAACCCTTTGTCTGTTGGCACCCCAACCACATACTCAGAAATAGGGAAATGCACAGTAAGGTCAATATAGCCACCACCCTGCAACAGGCTACAAGCCAATAGACATTCCAATCTGATCTGTGGTTCCATGGCAGGGGAACCACTGACTCTCCACTAAGTGCCAACCTTTCAACTGACCAGTGCCTTGACAGCAGCCCTTTGTCACAGCCCGGGATATGACATTCATGGGGACAGCTCTGTAGGATTTTTCCTATCTTGATGTAGAAAAATCCCAACTCTGTAGAGGTTAAGCCTTGGGGTGTCACCACAAGAACAGTGTGTCCCTCAGGTAGCCATGTTGCCCTGCCTCCCACAACCTTGCTACTTGCCTTCTTCAGAGCCACAAACTCATTCTCAGCTGTGGCTCTCAGAGAAACTTCCTCCTCGTACCTAGGACAGGAAAAGAAAATGAGACAGTGTGAGGAAACCCTACACTCCTTGCCAGGGAGTGCAGGAGAGGAGCCCTCACAGCTCTTGGCCCTGCCAGGGTTTTCTGGGGGATGCTGGGCTACCTGGGAGTAGAATCTAGATGTAAGTGAACCTCCCAGTGTTCTGAAGTCACTGCAAGAAGGAAATGAGGCTTCAACTTCATCTTCATCTGGGAGTGGGCAGAGTCTTGGGTACATAAGCTCCATTCTCCCCTCACTTGCATGTCAGTCCCAATCTAGCTGTTAAGTAGGCCCACAGCCCAAAGACTGAGAACCCAAGCTGGGAAGACAGATGAGCTTGGACCATGACCCTCCTAATCCCTGACTGATTCTGTGTAGAAGATCAAAGTCAGACGGAATGAATGGGGTTCCTGGGGCTTTCCCTTCCTAGAGAAGGCAGAGCTGTTGGTCTCAGTCTCTAGAGGGAGGGTTGAGGGAGAATAGTTCACTCTGAGACACCCCGGTTCTTTCCAGGGAGAATTTAAGCAAATATTTCATAAACAGTAGGATCCCACAATGTCCTCAGCCGGCCCAGACTGTCTGTGTCCTGGCTTTTTATATAAGGCATTATCTAATGCCAGGGCCATGCCAGGCTCTTTTCACCTCTTCTTGTAGCCCTCCATGGCCTCCTGGGCATGGTTGAGCTCAGCAGCCAGTCTCCCACTGTCAGCCTCCACACACTCAGCCTCCCTCCTCAGGGTCTCGATGTAGCCCTCGAACAGCGGCTCCACGTTGCTCTCACAGCACTTGCGGTTCTGGTAGAACTGCCACTTGGTCTCCAGCAGCTTGTTCTGCTGCTCCAGGAAGCGCACCTGCCATGGGAGTGAGAAGGGTTCAGAGTGAGATCTAGGTGATGGTGTAGATGAGGTGGAGGGGCCTGGGAGGGAGCCCAACTCTCCATTCCCTTATCTTGCCCTGCCTCAGCTTCCCTGCTTGGGGAGAGTTCAAGGGACAGGGTCAGTGCCCGCACTCACAGATCCAAGTGACCACTTCAGTGTCCTATGCTGGGCTTGGGGCTTTCCTCTGAAGCTGGGAAGGCAGGAGCCCCCACAAGCGAGCACCCACATTCCCATGCCAGGATAAGGGACTGACAAGGAGCCAGGGAGGCAGTGTCACAGATCACTTGGAGGACCTCGCTAGGCTGGCTCTGTCCTCCCTCAGCAGCCTGCTCCCTTCCTGTCAGCTGAAGTGCATCCTTCCTCCCTGGCTGCCCACAGCTCCGTGCTGCAGTCAGCCTGTGCCCAGGGCAGCCTGGCCATAGCCCTACTTCTCAGGACTGACAGATGAGCCTTGTGGGTCCTTAGTGTGCCCATCTGGACACACCTCTCCCTTGAGACTAGGGGCTCAATGTGAGAGGCCTTTCTTCCTCCTGTCCCCCTCAGTGCTCTCGGCCTCGGCCATGCATATGGTGGGCCCCAGGAAGGGCCTGGCTCAGGACACCCACCTTGTCGATGAAGGCTGCGAACTTGCTGTTGAGGCACTTGATCTGTTCCTTCTCCTCATGCTTCACGCACTGAGCATTGGGGTCGATCTCCAGGTTGAGGGGCGTGAGCAGGCTCTCATTGACAGAGACGCTGGTGATGCAGGGGGGTGTGGGTCCGCAGACGCCTCCAGAACGGTATCCAAAGCTGCGTCCACAGGAGCCAGAGCGGAAGCCTCCACAGACGCTGTGGCTGCCAAAGCCCCCTGAGAGTCCACGGTAGCAGGAGATACCCCTGTAGGGAGCTGCGGAGATGCAGCAGCGGCCAGGCCGGGGGCCACATGCTGAGGCGCAGCTGAAGGCATGGCCACCACAGTAGGATCCACAGGTCATGGTTGTTTGGGGAGATGGGAGACTGTGAGACTGGCGACGTCCAAGTGGAAGGTACAGTGGACGTGGATTCGGGTGTTTACCTCTTTAGATTCTGTCAGCCTTTTATATATGTGGGGACCCTGACTGTGGCCACGTGGTCTGAAGCAATTAGATGCCTTTTATGAGCTTGGCTTGTTTAGCTGCTGTGGCTCCTCCTTACATGTGCTTAATTGGTGCTCAGTTGCAGCCAAATGTTTATGGTCCTTTACCCTAAACTGTACAATTTTCTTCTTCAAAGGGCCAGCTCATCTCCTCCATCCTCTGCTCATGCGCCCATACTCAGAAACAGAGGTGGAGAGACAGGGGTGGTGATTCAGGTTGCAAGAAAAATGGAGAAGGACTGAGCTGTAGTGCCAATGCTGAAAAGTGTGGGTCCCGCTGTCCGTGGTCCTGACCCAACCAGGACTGGGAAGTGGACAGAGTGGAATTGGGGTTCTAAGTGGGATTCCTCAGCTGGGTGGTTCTTTTCTGTTTCCTCTAAGGCACCTTGTCGGAAAAACCTCTAAACAGTCATCTTCTCCCACTTCCATCACCCGGCCCCACTGATCTTTCTCCCTTCGCTCATCATGTTGCCCTTCATACACACACACACACACACACACACACACACACACACACAGACAGACTTCATGTCTACGTTTGCCTACAGAGACACACACACACACACAGACTTCATGTCTACGTTTGCCTACAGAGACACACACACACACACACACACATTTATGAACACAGACTATTCCTGGCTCACCCTGGCTGGCCTGAACTGAGAGTGTGTCTTCCGTCAATCTTCCCCAAGGCCTAGGGGTACACACTGCCTCACTGGCCCCAGGAAAGCCCAACATTTTGCAGAAAGCCTGACAACAAGAATTGAAATGCCTTCATTTCACCTCAGGAGCCTATGCCATCCAAGGCAGTGTGTGACCTCACTGTTATGGGTCTCCATAGTGTTTGGCTCAGAATATAAAATCCAGTAAGGTGACATGAAGAGAACATGCAACCTTCAACTGCCACTTGAGTCCTTGCTGTGTTCCACACTATGGTGCCCCCCATGGAGCTTGCCAGTGGCTTCGATGGGCATTACAACACATCTATGCCATCTGGTACTGCCTGTCCAGTATAAGCCTTGAACTCAGGGCCAGAGCGCTGCCTTGTCTAGTCTGCATGTCCTGGAATTAGAGGCTTCACTCTGTTAGGAAGCAGGCTGAGACTTTGCTCCCCTGGCAGTCCTGGAAGTGTGCAGAGATGTGTGTAGGCTCAGTAGCCTCCAGAGCGCATTGCCATTAGGCTGCATCCCACCCTTTCCCAATTGCTCTGGGCAGTGCTTTTCCAGAGTGAGCACTGCACCCCACTAATGGGAATACCCATCATTTTTCAGAACAGATGGGAAGAAAACCATCCAGGGTAGAACAGAGAACATGATTGTTTGCCTTGCGTCACTGCTGTGTCCTGACCTTCTGGTTCCGCCATATGTGGTTTACGTTTATTCTGTCATTGCATAAAATTATTCCTCCTGCAGCTGCAGTTCTTAAAAAGTGGAAGTACATGTTATACCAGTTGAGGACACAGATCCGGATTCCAAAGTGCCTATTTTCAAACCCAGCTCCACCACGCTCCTGGGAAACCCTGGGCAGCTCCTTAGCGTCTCTGAGATACCATTATGATTTGTAAAATGAGCTAATTCTAGCACCCACCTCGTAAAGTTGTCGCAAGAATCAAGGAATTAATCTATGCTAAGCACTTAGGTCTGAGCCTGATACATTCTGAGGGCACAAATAGATGTGAATTGTTGTTGCTGTGCTGTTGATGTTGTGAATATAGTGACAGCTTTGATGTACTCGCTCACATTCCCAAACCACTTATGCTCAATTACCAGTAAAGTGGCCCAGCCTGGAAGAGTGGTGGGGGAACTGAATAACACAATAGCACTCAACGTAGCTGCACCCAACACTCAGCACAGCAGCGCCCACAGAAAGCGCTTAACACTCAACATAGCAGTGCTTAACACTCATCCTAGCAGCGTCCACAGAAAGCACCTAACAGACAACTTAGCAGAGTGCACAGAAAGAGCTTAACACTCAACATCGCGGTGCCCACAGAAAGTGTTCAATTATTACTGTGTGCACTATTGTCCTACCATATGAGCCTGTCCCAGTAGAAGAAAGGACTATGGACTTTACCCTGGGAAAGAGCCTAAGTGACCTCCCTTCCACTCCATCCCAGTTGCTGCAGGAAAGGCCTGCTCAGGAACCCTCATGTTGGCCAATACTTGGGAGGCAGCTCTAAGAGGAAATAAAGCTCAGATGACCTAAAATGTCATTCATTGAAAAATAGTTCCAAAATTTGAATTTTTCATTTGGCCTTAAAAGAGCATCAGAGATTGCTGACCACACAACCAACCAAAAAGGCAGAGTTGTGGATCCCTGTCCCAACTTGATACACCTACAACAGTATCAGCCCAGTAAGGGATCATGGTGAAGGGGGCAGAAAGATTGGAAGATCCAAAGGAATAAGAAGTTTGCTGGGAGAGTGTGTCTCTTATAAATATCAGAAGCTACGTACAGTCTTACTATACAGGTTTGAAGAAGGGCACCCATAGACATGTTAATGTAGACAGAGGGAGTCTCACAAGGCCTCAGAATTGCAGGCAACTGAGGGAAGTTGAGATGGGGAATGCAGAGTCTTCTCCAAGGAAGGGCCATACATTGATTACCAAATGGGCATCCCTGAAACACATATGCAAGTAACATTATACAGACTGAGCAGGTTTTCTTTATGCATTTAGGAATGTTTGTATGAATATATACACATAACATGTATAACAACAATTAAAGAAACAAACATGAATTTGAAAGAGGTCAAGGGGGTCCTTGGGGATTGAAGGTAAGAAAGGGAGGGGAAATGATGTAACTGCATCACCTCAAAAAATAATAAAATACTATTTTGAAAAAAGAAATCCTTGGTCATAAATTAAACAATATCTAGCTTGTATATCTTGTTTTTTGTTTTTTGTTTTTTTTGCCTAATCCCCAAAGCTCCTGATTGGGTGGTAGCCAGAAATCCCATGGGGCTGTTGAGGGAGATCTACCCTAACACAATAGGACTGCAAAAGAAGCAAGAGCAGGCAAGCCCTGGCTGGCTGGAAGCTGAGGCTGAGGAAGAACTCCCTGGGAAAGGACAGCAGCCATTCTGCTGAAGGACATTAACAGCATGTTCTCTTCTTCCAGCCCATGTGGGCAAGTGGGCCTTGTGGTGACAGCACCTCAGACATTTTCATCTTATAAAGTCCTCATTCAGAGCTTATTTCCTTCTGATCTGCTTCTGGGGAAACTCCTGGGTGTGAGACAGATCCTCAAGAGGGATGGTAGAGAAGACTCCATGTACCTCACTGATGGAGCATCTGGGGACTCTGGGGTGATGTGTCCTATCTCCTGAACATGTGTTGACTGGAGAGAAACACGGACCCTGGAGCTCTCGCGTGTCAGGAAAAACAGAGCTCCCATGGTGAGGGAATGCCTGACTGTGGTGTCCTTCCGGGAAGAAAAAGGGAGGCTCTCTGGGGAAGGGGGAAGAAAAGCAGTACCCTGGGGGTGACTCAGAGAGGAGGGAGCAGGGAGACAGAGTCAAGGATAGAAGTCCCTGAAAGAAGGATCATGAAATTCAGTGGTTGGTAAGAGAGAGACAAAGTCAGAGAGAGATGGAGAGACAACAGAGACAGAATGAGAGAAAGACCCCCATCCAGCAAAGCCAAGACTCAGGAAGCAGGCTCGTGTCATCCTTGAGACCACTGGGAGTTTAGACTGAAGTAGCCCATGGGCTCTACAGTTGGAAGACACCTAAGCATCACCTGCTGTGTGTGCCCTTCTCAACTGTGAGCAGAAAGAGAAGCTGAGGCCAGCGAAGCTTCCAAGTTAAGGGAGGAAAGATGTGTCTACATTAACAGGACTCTGGAGCAAGAGAACTGAACTCAGGTCTAGCCTCTACAGCTGTGAGGCAAGTTGGGGAACATTCCACATCTGAACCCTACATCTCTTCTTTCCCCTGCCCAGGACACTGGATAAGCATTCATCAGGATGCAACAAAGGAGATGAGAAGCAGGGTTCAGATGTGAGATGCCCAGCCCCTGGAGCTCAACCTGCTGAACCTCACGCTCCAACCCCTGTGCCTGCCTGTTAGACCTCATAACCAGGAATGTGGGCTGAAGGTGCCCTCTGCAGACTGGTCCAGAACCTGCCCTCACGCTGCATCTCTCCAGCACAGCAGCTGCCTCCTTCTCTTCCTCTTCCTCCTCCTCCACATTCTCCTCTCCCTGCTCATCATCCTCGCCCTCCTCCTCCCTCCCCCTTCCTCTCCTCCTCTTCATTCGCCCCTCATCCATTTCTGCTGAAGTGTTGCCACCACCCAATTCTCCTCTGGATCTTCACGCACTTGTCCACCACCCCCTCCACTATCTTCTGTCCTCTCATTATTTCCAACCTCATCCCACCACTTCCTTCCCTTCCTGCCAGCGGCTCTCGAGAGTAACTCATTTAAGATCACACAGTTCTTCCTCAAAAAAAAAAAAGCCCTTCCCATTCCTATCTCTCCTTCCACCCTCAACCTGGCACACACCACATCTGCCTTGCCCTGGGCTTTCTGGATCCTTGCCATCACTGGCTGGCTCTCTTTGGCCAATAACACATTTCTCTTACGTCACTCCTTCAGACCTCAGCAAGGAGCATCTCCCTCTCCACTCCACCCCCAGGAATGGCCACTTCCTGGTCTGTTTCGTGTGACCCCACCCCATTTGACCACAAAGCTTTGTACAGCAGGCCGCCAAGCTTCAATGACCCCATTACTCAGTACTTAATGTGTAGCTGGTACTCATTGTATTCATTCAGTAGACATTTATTGAGCACCTACTATGTGACAAGCCCTTGAAATGCATCCACAAACAACATTTTTGTCAAATAGTAATGTGTTTC